GCCCCTCAGCGCGGCCTCCGCCCCTCAGCGCGGCCAACCGCGGCCCCTCCGCCCGCCCCGCCGCGCTCCCACCCGCCATGAGCTGCCGGCAGCCGCTGCCGAGCGAGCGGGGAGCGAGACAGAGGTGGGTGAGGGCAGCGCGGCCTGAGGGGGGGAAGGAGGGGCCGCGCTGAGGGGAGGGGGCTCGGCCGCTCGGAGCCGCCCCGGGGGCGCCGCGCGGAGAGGGGTTGGGGAAGGGGAGAGCGGCCCCCGGGCGCTGGGAGGGTTAAATGGGGCTGCGGGGTTCAAGGTGGCGGGAGGGGAGGCTGGGAGGGCGAAGGGACGGGGGGATGCGGAGGAGGCAGCTGAGGGATCGTGGGGCGGGTGGGAGATGGGAGGCCGTGGGGGATCGTGGAGTCGGGGAATGGGGTGGAAGGGACCCCAGAGCCCTTCCCATGCCACCCCTGCCACGGGCACGGACACCTTCCATAGCCCAGGGTGCTCCGGCCGAGCTGCCGAGGTCACTGCAGGCCTCGGGGAAGGGAAGGATCCGGGGGCAGAGATGGGGGAAGGGGTCTCCCTTCCCCGGAGAGTGTTCCCGGACAGATGGACAGCGTTTGGAACCTGCCATCGCTGGGATGGGGAGCAGGGAGGCAGCTCCGGCTGTAGGCGTGGGCCAAAGCCTGGCAGCTGGGGCTGCTGCACAGAAAGGAGCCGGTTATAAATACCTCCCTCGAGTCTGTTTTGACTCATTCGAGCACGGATTAATTTTAGGCACACCAAAACAGCTCCATGCCGTGTTTTTTTGGAGGCTGCTGAGATCCTGGCTGACTCGTCCGTGTTTGTAGGGTGGGGAAGAATCGTTTGATGTTTGTGTAGGAATTCTGGGATGCTGCTGGGGAGCAGCTGCTGTGTTGGTGGCACAGAATCACACCGTGGGTTGGAAGTGACCTTCAGTCCCACCCAGTGCCACCCCCTGCCATGGGCAGGGACACCTCCCACTGTCCTAGGTTGTTCCAGGTCCTGTCCAACCTCGTCTTTGAGGTGTTCCCTTGATCTCCTATAATCTGGGAATATCAGCACCGCCCCCACCCCATTGTCCTCCTCCAAACTCTGCAAAGATTTGGATAAAAATTAGGTGAAAACCTGTACCCACCGTGCCAGACAGTGCAAGGTGCCGTGAGAGGGTGGCAGGTACACCAGAAACGGGGCAGAGTTTGTTTTCCACGAGGTGTTTCCTGACAAAACCTTATCTCCACGTGGGAAATGTGATTGTTTTGGAATGTGACTCCAAACCCTGTCAGAGGGGAGAGGCTAAAGAGTCGTTGTGGAGTGGTGTGAGCAGGTGAATCATTGGAGATGTGGTCAGTGTCACTTGTCCCAGGGCTGTCCCCAGCCTGCCAGGTGTCACTCTGAGCCCAGGGATTATTTTTACATCTGCAAGGCTGGCAGTTGTTAAATGAGTTTATTTAGCAGGATGGTTTTAATCCACATCCCTTAAACTGATAGGAGACATCTTGTGAGGAGCAGGACCCTTTTCTCTGTGCCCTCAGGCTGCAGCTGAAAGGGGAATGTGAGAGCCCACAGCACCTCGGGGGTGCAGACATCCTGCATTAATTTATCAGGGGTCCTGCCCTTTTTGGGTGCCTTCAGAGCACAGAGCAGGAGGTGGATCAGGGAGCTGATCATTTCTTCTCCCCTGCAGGAAGAGGAGGAGGAATGGCAATGAAGATGATGGTCACGTTCCCCAGACCAAACGTAGCACCAGGAACTCTGTCCTGCAGGACTCGTGGGACACTGAGGTGAGAGCTGAAATCCAGGCTGCATTTTAACAGCAGCTGGAATATTCTGTGCTCTTTTTTTT